TGATGCCCTAAAAGTATTTAAAATCACATCATATTAGACTATACCAATTGAGGATCTAGTATAATTCAGAATGGTCTGATTCATACTGCATACATGTTTAGAAGTTTGTTTTTCTAATACAATTGTCAGGTCATTTTAGTGACATTTAGAAGAAACCTGTAGGAATGAGCATTTTTTTTTTCCAAATAAAAAGGCTTAAGAAATTTAGTTACTTCTATATATCAGTAAATTCTAGATTTAATTATTCATTAAATTATTTAATTCCGATTTAGCTTAATGTGATTTAATTCTATGTTTAAAGAAATTATATACAGGAGTCCCTGGGTGGCTCAATTGGTAAAGTGTCTGACTTCATCTCAGGTCATGCTCTCATGGTTCCTGAGGTTTGAGCCCAACGTGGGGCTCTGTGCTGACAGAGCCTGGGGCCTGCTTCAGATTCTGTGTCTCTGTCTCTCAAAAATAAACATTTGAAAAAAAATTTTTTAATAAAATAAAATAAAGAAATTATATATAGAAATTATATACATAGGGGCATGTGGGTGGCTTATTTGGTTAAGCAGCTGGCTCTTGATTTCAGCTCAGGTCATGATCTCACGGTTTCTTGAGGTCTAGTCCTGCACTGTGCTCTTGGGATTTTCTCTCTCTCCCTCTTTCTCTGCTCCTCCCCTGCTTGAGCTCTCTGTCTCTCTCAAAATAAATAAACAAACTTTAATAAATAATAAACAAACATTAAAAAAAGAAATCATATCCATGATTTAGGCTCTGAATTTATTTTTTCATAAATGTACCTTCTTTTCTATGTTATATAGTATAGCATGGTTTTCTACTGTATTTTGTACTTTAAAATACTAAACTAAATTTCACTTAGAAATAGTCTACCACTGGGGCGCCTGGGTGGCTCAGTTGGTTAAGCATCTGACTTTGGCTTAGGTCATGACCTTTCAGTTTGTGGGGTCAAGTCCCGTGTTGGACTCTGTGCTGACAGCTCAGAACCTGGAGTCTGCTCTGGATTCTGTGTCTCCCTCTCTCTCTGTCCCTTCCCTGCTTTTGCTCTCTCTTAAAACTAAATAAACATTTAAAAAATGAAAGATAAACAGTCTACCAGTGGGGCGCCTGGCTGGCTTAGTCAGTTAAGTGTCTGGCTCTTCATTTGAGCTCAGGTCATGATCTCACAGTTCATGGATTGAGCCCTAAGTCAGGCTCTGTGCTGACAGTGCTTGGGATTCTCTCCCTCTTCTCTCTCTGTACCCCCAACCCCTGCATAAAAAAGAAAAAAAAAAGTCTACTATTACTTCCTACTAATTAAGTTTGGCATTCGTCTTATAATTCCAATAAATAAAGTTTTGATGTGAAAAAATAGAACTATTTGAAACATAAGAGGGGTGCCTAAGTAGCTCAGTTGGTTAAGCATCTGGCTCAATCTCAGCTCAGCCCATGATCTTCCGTCATGGTTAGTGGGTTCAAGTGAGGAGCCTGCTTGGAATTCTGTCTCTCACTCTCTCTGCCCCTCTCCCACTCATTTCCTCTCTCTCTCTCTCAAGTAAATAAATAAGCTTACCAAAAAAAGAAGGAAGTATAAGAGTTTTTGCTTAATAATAATAACAATCATAATACTAGCAACTCATTCTTGCCACAGCCATAAAATAAATTCCTTAGTTCACCTATACTCTTCTTCTGGATTTTTTTTTTTTTAAATTTTTTTTTTTTAATGTTTTTATTTATTTCTAGGAGAGAGAGAGAGAGACAGTGTGAGCAGGGGAGGGTCAGAGAGAGAGGGAGTCACAGACTGAAACAGGCTCCAGGCTCTGAGCTGGCAGTCAGCACAGAGCCCGACGCGGGGCCCGAACCCACGAACCGCGAGATCATGACCCAAGCGAAAGTCGGACGCCCAACCGACTAAGCCACCCAGGCGCCCCCTGGATTTTGACACCTTAAAAAACCAATGTCAATATCTGTTGAATATTGACAATTATTTCCAGGGACTGTATAATGGTCAATACAAACAACATACAACCAAGAAAGAAATGATGATTGCTACTTCAGAGAGAAAATATTAGGAAGAACATTTGCTTCCTTTTCAAATGGGTATTTGGATTTAGCGTGAACATTTTATAACTTCTAATGTAATCACTTTGATAAATATTTTGAGTTTTTTTGGTCCACTCACAGCAAAATGTTGAAAGCAACTGAACAACCATCCTAGTGAGTAAAATGTTAAAATGGACATTTTTGGTAAGGCAATGCATTTATTTCATGAAGTGATTTTAACATGAAAGGGGAACACCCTCTATACTGTCTTTCAGCTTTGCAAAGTTACTTGTCTTTTCAACTTCCTTTTACTCCTCTATCACAGTACTTTCTCATAAATAGCCCAGCGGGCCCCCAAGTCCCCTAAGTTGTCCCCTCCTCAAACTCCCTCCTTACTTAAGGCGTCTGCTGCTGGAAGCTAATTCATATTACTAGGGTGCCTCTGTGTTTTCTGTCGTTCTTCATGGACCCAGGACTAGGATACCGAGTAAATGCCTTGACACAAACTGGCTATTACCCAGAAGGATACTTAGAATCTTACAGAGGTGAACACCCTGGGAATAGGGCAGGGCTGGGTAGGAGAAAGTTCACTCACTTTGTGCCACCACAAAGGTGTGTTAGCACAGCACTCAGCTGCAGCGTACATGACTTGGTAGGTCCCATTTGGGATCCGGCTCCAAACTGGAGCAAGTCTAAACAGCGAAAAGGAAGAAAAGAACAACAATAAAACTAGCAGGTTTTATATCTATATATTTATTTATATATTTATAAATTTATATATATTATATAAATATATATTTATTTATATATTTATAAATTTATATATATTTATTTATTTATATATATCTATAGATAGATATATATAAACACTGGAGGGGATGGCTTCAGAGAATAAAGGTAGCCAGCAAGTTTTTGTCCTCATGGAAATGTAGGAGACAAAGGACATGTTCAGTGTTATGGGGGTCACTGATTAAGTAACAAGCACTCACATTAGCCACCTAGAGTCATTAAGAAGACAAGGATTGAAAGCATTCTCTTTGGAGAGTCTTGATTGTAAGATTAGAAACACGGGAGCACCCGAGTGGCTCAGCTGGTTAAGTGTCCAACTTTTGATTTTGGCTCAGGTCATTATCTCACAATTTGTGGGATGAAGCCCTGTGTTGGGCTCTGCGCTTGGGATTCTCTCTCTTCCTCGCTCTCAAAATAAATAAATAAACATTAAAAAAAAAAAAAAGAAAGATTAGAAACGCATCCTGAAAACCAGAAGCAGCCTACATATTCAAACAGGAAATGGTTGAATTGATTATGAAGCCTGTCATGCAGCATTTACAAGCAAAGAGTGGCTTAGAGAGATGTCCAGGAGCACCTGAATGGCTCAGTTGGTTGAGCGTCCCACTTGGGCTCAGGTCATGATCTCGAGGTTCATGGGTTCAAGCCCTAGATCGGGCTCTATACTGACTGCCAGCTCAGAGCCTGGAGCCTGTCTTCAGATTCTGTATCTCCCTCTCCCTCTGACCCTCCCCTGCTCACACTGTCTCTCTCTCTCTCTCAAAAATAAATAAAAACATTTTAAAATTTTTAAAAAAGAAAAAAACGTTTAAAAAAAGAGATGCCCATACTGTTAAACGAAAAAGCTTCCCATTTGAGATCTATATAATTATAACATACTTGTGTTTTATAAATGTCCAGAAAAGCATCTAGAAGGAAATACTAAACTAACTATTCTTGGGGAGTGGGATTGCAGGAAGAGGAATTCTTACATTAAAAAATAGCAACACCTGTATATTATAGATGTAGTATTTTTAGCTGTACATTTATGTATGCTCATAGAAAAGTGTTCAGAAGGATGTGTACCAAACCACACTTGCAGAGGAGAATGGAACATGGGAGGGTGTACAAAGGGTACCGAATACTGTGCTTTGTTTGAAAACAATGAGAATATAATTATGTATTACTAGTAGAATTTTATATTTTTTAAATTTTAAAAAATTTATTTATTTTGAGAGAGAGATAGAGAGAAGGAGAGAGGAAGAGAGAGAGAGGAACTCCCCGGCAGGATCCATGCTGTCAGCACCGAATCCCGATGCAGGGCTCGAATTCAAGAACTGGGAGATTATGACCTGAGCCCAAACCAGGAGTCAGACACTTAACCGACTGAGACACCCTGGCGCCCCTCTAGAATAATTTTACACGAAAAGACACCTTTTCACTACAACACTTTCTCCTACTCAGGTCGAATCATGGCACAGAATCCACTGCAGTCTCAGCGGTCTGTACATGGTGGTTGTTTACTTGTGTCTGTCTCTCCACAAAACGGGGAAGTGAACTGCGGAGGCAGTATCATCTAAAGACCCAGAGGACGTACCAACAGTTCAAGTGGAATAACTGGGAGGAGAGCTGGGGACACAGAGTTATGCCACGTCTCTGTGGCTGCATCCACAAATAAAAGTTGGTGCTAAAGGACAGGAAGTCGGCTTTGAGTAGCACACACACCACCACCACAACCACCTTCGTTTCTCTGGCTAGTTTTGTCCTGGTGGTACTTTAATGGCTCAACTTGTTATAATTCAAGCGATGCGCGCTTCTTCCTAGTGGGTAACAAGTGTAACTCGCAAAGCTGGGCTCGTGGTGAGTTTGTCCGGGCAGACGCTGGCCGCGCTCGCTCCTCTGAGTCGCGAACTGACCTTCATTGCTCAAACGTCAGTATCTTCCAAAATGCCTCCCCACGCGCAAGCTTCCTGGAGCAACGCCGACCTCTCTCCCTGCGTCCCCCAAGAGCAGCCCCAGACCCAAGTAGCCCAGAATCTGAAGGCACGAGAACTGTCAGTGGGTGCTTCCTTCCTAGGTGCGAAGAGTAATGGGTCTGACTTTTACCTGGAAGCTTCAAGAAGCGAGCACCGCCACCAATACCATTCCTTCCCCGGGGCCCGAGGTTAGCCGCTCTCCCTCTCCCCAGGGACCACGGAGCTCACCCCAGAGCACAGCCTCCGCCGACCCGAGGATCGCACGGCATGCACTCCCGAGCAGCGGGCCTGGCAGCACCATCTCCGACTCGCGCCCACCGGGCTCCAGACCACTTCCTCCTCCGGCTCCTCCTCCTTGGACTTGGCCTCCCGGAACTGCGCCGGGCTCTTGAGCGCCCCCCTCCGCCAGGCGCTGGACGAACCGGGGGGAGCCGCAGGGAGTGATGGCTGAGGGAGCGGGACCCTAACTCAAGAAATTGAGAGCTGGGCTTTTTTTGTTTGTTTATTTTGATTATTATTTTTTTTTAAGTAGAGACAAATGTTTAAAAGTGGAAAGCAGAAAATATACCAAATATAAAATTTAAAGATTTAAAGTAAAAATTTCAACTTAACTTTATGTCAGTATTATTGCAGATTAAACTACATGGATGCTTTCTTAAGAATTGCTCTTAAATACAATAGCTGGTTCAACTGATGTCAGTGCTAAGGTAATCTCATGCTGTCATCTTCCCTCTACAACTTTGACACTTGACTGTATTTGACAATAGTTTTGTCAGAGGTAGGTCCAAGCTAGTTGGTGTTAGTTTTCAGTTGCCACCGTAACAAATTACCACAAATTTACTGGCTTAAAAAATATAAATTTATTGTGTACAGTTCTCTACATCAGAACTCTTACTTGGCTAAAATTGAGGTGTCAGCAAACCCGTGTTGCTTCTGAAGGCTCATGGGGGAGAATTTCTTTTCTTGCCTTTTTCATCCAGTAGAAGCTGCATGCATTCCTTGGCTAGTGGTCCCCTGCCCCATCTTCAAAGCCAGCCTTTTAGCATCTTCAAATCTCTCTCTCATTCTGACCTCTGCTTCTGTTGTTACATCCCCTCTTTCCTTCTGACCCTTTTTTAAAAAAAATGTTTTTATTTATTTCTGAGAGAGAGAGGCAGCATGAGCAGGGGAGGGTCAGAGAAAGGGAGATACAGAATCTGAAGCAGGCTCCAGGCTCTGAGCTGTCAGCACAGAGCCCGACGCGGGGCTCGAACCCACAAACTGTGAGATCATGACCTGAGCCGAAGTCGGACGCTTAATCGGCTAAGCCACCCAGGTGCCCCTTCTTCTGATCCTTTTAAAAAGATCTTTGTGATAATTCTGGGACTACTTGGATGATCCGGGATAATTTCCCTATCTCAAGAACCTTGATTTAATCATATTTGCAAAATCCTCTTGCCATGTGAGGTAACATTATCACAGGTTCTGGGAATTAGAACACCTTTGGAGGCAGGGGTGTTATTCAGCTTCCAACATAGAATTTATCACCACTGTGTTTAAAAAAATTTTTTTTAACGTTTATTCATTTTTGAGAGATAGATTGTGAGCAGGGGAGGGGCAGAGAGAGAGGGAGCCACAGATCTGAAGCAGGCTTCAGGCTCTGAGCTGCCAACACAGACCCCAATGTGGGGCTCAAACTCATGAATTGTGAGATCATGACCTGAGCTGAAGTCAGATGCTTAACCAACTGAGTCACCCAGGTGCCCCTATCATTACCGTGTTTTAAAATTTATTCTCAGCTTGGTTCATTATGTCATTTTGAATTTATTCTCAATTTGGTTCCCCAACATCATGAAAGCTATATTTAACTGCAAATTAATTAACAATGGAAAATTTAAAAATTAATTTCTAAATGGTATTATTAAAGTATGTGTCTAAGGAATAATTTCAGTAAGCACTTTATTTTTTTCTCATGAAGCATTTTAAAATTATTCAGTTTTAATAATTTAATAATTAATAAAAGCACTTCAAATTTCTACACCAGTGTCATCACTTACAATTATGGTTTTTCCAAATCATTTGGGGTTTAGTAATAGTTTCTATATAATCAATTTTGTGGATTAACTTTGAACTAACATGTCATTATATATTGTAGATTCACCCACTCCCCATGGTATCCCCAAGCTGTCCTGAATACATCATAAACCATAGGCGGTGTGGACACAGATATGGAAACAATGGAACAATGTGCTTGGTTTCAATAAATCACATTCAATTTGATTTATGTTTTTGCTAGAGCACATATTACTAAATAATTCTTTTTCCAATGTTCATGACTAATTATTTGAGAAATATTTTTCTGTAGGATTTTTTTGTCTGAAAAGATGAATTACTCCTCCTGTACAAGCACAGTGCCAAACGTTGTTTACTTAAGAGTTCTTATAGCAAAAATCTTGTCAGAAGAGAGTCTTGATCATTATTCCTTGGACAAGCGTCCAAGCTCTTCTTTCAGAGCTAGAAAGGCCTAAAGTGGGATGAAAGGGAAAAAAATAGTTGGTCTACTGGTGCTGAGTTGATATGAATCATTAATTGTCAACTCATTTTATTTCTTGGTATAATGCAAGTGAAAGGCAACTGGAAAGGAGGGGATTTTCCCCATTTCTTTTTAAGTCCACATCAAGCCTCCACATATTTGACAAATCAAATGAAGAACTAGGAAATGTATTATTTTTCGTGCAAACTTTTTTCCAAAAGAGTTTCTATCAGAACTTAAAATGAGTATCTGTTGACTCAGCATTTCCACTGCCAACAGTTTACTGAAGATATTTGCACAAGTAGGCAAAGATAAATGTACCTTAACAGGAAACTGGGGTAAAAAACGATGCATCCATTTACTGGAGTTTTAAGCAGCTAGTCAAAAGAATGAGGCTAATATGGAATTATGTCCAAGATACACTAGCAAGTGAAAAAAATCGAGTTGTAAAATAGAATGTAGACTGCTAGAAATCAAGATAGCTTTGGAATTTTATCATTTCCAAGAAAAGTTATATACTGCTTGCATAATTCCTAAATTTCTTGTTCTAATTCAGTCCCTTCTTTTTTTTTCCCCTGTAAATTGGATTACAATATATGATACATTTTTAAAAATCCCATTTACTTCAATGCAATGTAGTATGAAAATTATTTAGATTTGCTCAAGTTTGCATATCTTTTTTTCCCTCCATGTTCTGTTTTAAATCAGATGTTAAATAAAATCAGGGGCGCCTGGGTGGCTTAGTCGGTAAAGCGTCTGACTTTCGCTTAGGTCATGATCTCACGGTTCGTGGGTTCAAGCCCCGCATCGGTCTCTGTGCTGACCGCCAGCTCAGAGCCTGGAGCCTGTTTCAGTCTGTGACTCCCTCTCTCTCTGACCCTCCCCTGCTCACGCTGTCTCTCTGTCTCTCTCCTAGAAATAAATAAAACATTTTTTAAAAAAATAAAAAAACGTTTGATTTCCGATGTATAAAATTTTGACTTCACAGTTACACCCATATGACCTATTCTTACTTGGGGAATATTTTTTTTTCCTAAAGAAAGTATTTCCTAAAGAATATTTTTCCCTACACCAAAACATGATGTATCTCTATACCTAGCACAGTAACTGGCATATTAATACTTAGTTATATTTGTTGAATGAGGCGTTTCCATATATACAATGTAAACATCTAGTAACTTTCTTTGCCAAGTTCTTTACATGGAAACAATGCTGTTTCATAAGAAATGAATTAGAGTTTTTAAGGGAAAATCAAGACTTTTTTGGTTTATCTCTGGTATCTTTTGACACTTAATCCAAGCTTCTATCCATAAGGACACACCTGTCTCCGGGCTGAAGACTTGTGGGAGATTACAAAGCTTGTGGAGTTTACCCATAACTAGTGTTGATGTTTGCATTATCATTCAGACAAAATATTTCCAAGCCAACAATTTTTACTAAACACATGCAATGTCCAGACCACTTTAACGGATAATCGAGCTTCGAAGAAGCATAGGTGTAGGTCAAGAAAATTTCTGTGTAGTAAGGACAGGTAAGCCAGTAATAATGAAAAAATGCAACATAACATATGACAAATGCTAGATGTGACTATTGTACAGAAGAGTGTGATAGTCGGAGGCTATCCCGTTTGGCCCTCTGAAACAAGGGGGATCTAAGTCTCCGACTCGGGAAAGACCTGAGCTGCGCACTCCGGGACACTTGGGACGCAACAAGGAGCCAGTTGCTATTATTCTACGATTAGCCAGTTTATCGCGCTCTGCAGACTTAGAGAACGCAGGGGCGACGCGAGCCGACCCCACCCTGTCCACGCCCCACTCCATGTGCTCCAACGCCTAGAGGGCGGCCTCGACCCCGCCCGGCTGTGGGGCGGGCACGCGAGGCCACGCCCCTGCCGGCGGGGAGGTCGGCCGCGCAGGCGCACTACCTTCTGGTTGTAGACGCGGCGTCTCGGCCCGGCGTGGTGAGTCCGGACTGCGGCGGTGGGGTTGCCGCAGTGTTCCGGTGTTCTCTTCGTCGACCCCAGCCCCTTGTGGCAGGACGGGCCTGGGAGAAAGGCGTCCTCCGCCTCCCCCCAACCCCCGCGCCTTTGCGATCCCGGGGGGGTCCAGGCAGTAGCCCAGGGCCGCGTGAGTGCGGCCCGGCCGGGCGGCGGCTGTAGGAACCGGGGTTGTTTAGGCGGGAGGGGGACCGCGGGGAGGGGCCCGAGTCTCCGCTGGACCGCGACGAGGCGCGGCCCGACACCCTTTTCCCGCCTCCCTCCCGCGCTCTCTCCTCACTCCGCATTCGGTCTTGAGAAAGTTGGGACCGGAGGAAGCAAGGCTCCTCACGGGGTTTGGGAAGCATCGCGTACCATTAGGAGCCCTGGAGACGAGCTGCCGGGGTCCAGGTCTCCGGCCACCACTCGTTAAGGTCTGGTCTCCGAGACCTCTGCAAGTCACTTAACCTCTGTGTGTCTCAGTTTCCTGAAGTGTAAAATGAGAGAAGTCATAGTAACTTCTCTCAAAAGGTGACTGTGAGAATCGAGTGGGATAGTGTCTTTGAAGTGCTTAGAGTCAAGCATGATGCACAACAGAAGTGCTGTTCATTTTTTGGAGCCCGGCACTAAATGGAGTTATGTCCCTCACCTCCCCAGGCTGAAAACAAGTGCCCGAGAGTCCAAGGGTAGGGAAAGGAATTTTTTTTTTTCTTTTTGAGAATATGGGCTTTTGTTTGTATAGCATCTTTTTTTTTTTTAAATCATACATTTCTAAATAACTTAGTTGCACATCCTACAGCCGAGAAAAGACAGATGTTAGAGTAATATTGAAGTTGGAAACTGAAAAGTTTTGCTTGGGAAACCACGTGAGAAAAATGGCCAGAGCTTATTTGTGCTGAAAAGTTAACATCCTGGCCCTAAGACTGCTAACCTTAGAAAGGCCTACTTTTCTTTTTTTTTTTTTTTTTTAATGTTTTATTTATTTCTAGGAGAGAGAGAGACAGTGTGAGCAGGGGAGGGTCAGAGAGAGAGGGAGTCACAGACTGAAACAGGCTCCAGGCTCTGAGCTGGCAGTCAGCACAGAGCCCGACGCGGGGCTCGAACCCACGAACCGCGAGATCATGACCTAAGCGAAAGTCGGACGCTTAACCGACTAAGCCACCCAGGCGCCCCAGAAAGGCCTACTTTTCAAGGCTACAATTTGTTTGGCATCTGGGAACTATTATATAGTTTATGCCGGAGTTGCCAGCCTCCATACCCTCCCCCCTGCTGGGGCATGTGAGTCTGTCATGGGCTTCCTTGAGCAGAGACATTGCACAGACATTGCTGGATTTTCTTTATTGGGGGAAGGAGTGTGCCCTCTTTGTCCCTTTCAGGAGGGAGAGACTATAAGGAAGCCTGCATGTGGATTCCTGCAGACTTCACTTGTGTCTTTTCCCATTATCCAGGCTGTATGTCCATAGACATTGCTGTAATAAAAGTTAGCTAGGGGTACTACTACATGCCGAGTCCTGTGAGTCCTTCCAGTGAATCTCCAGATGCGAGGGTGGTCTTGGAACTCCCCAGGTACAATTTGGGTGATAGAACTTGAAGCTCCAGTAATTGGACTTTAATTTTGTCCCTCTTTGACTTAAAGGGGAATGAAAAGGAAAACTATCCAGATAAGTGATGGCTAATTAGAGGGTTACTGTCCAGAAGTGTTTCTATGTTTAGATATATTGCATATGTCAGAAAAATCATTGGAAATTAACTCTACCTACCAAGTTAAGTTTGAGTCAGTGTCTTTTACAGACCTTTTACAGATTATAGGTCAAATACCTGTTTTTTTGTTGTTTTCTGCCAGCATTATCTATGTGTTGTTGTTTATCTAGGTTTATCTGTGCAGTTGGGGAAAAGGTATGACAAGTTTCTCATGGCCATTTTTCCTGGATTCTGTTACACCTATATTTTGAGGATCAAGTTGAAATATTTGAAATATCTCACCTCTAAGTTTGGAGGTGAAAAGATCAGATTTGCCATCTGATTATGTCTTTTTCCCCCGTCAGTTAAGTAGAAGACTAGATACTATTTTGAGAAACAGGGAGATGGAGGAGTGAGAGGTTTGGGAGAATTAGAAAGGTTTCAAATGGCTGTGTGAGGAGTAGGTAAGTAAGTTTTCCAGAAAGTGTAGTGGATAATGGCACGTCTTGATCCACTTGAGATTGAGATTGTGTTATGAATTTAGTGACCCAGTCTACTTTCTTACAAGGTTTTCTCCAGCCTGTTTGGATGCAGACATGGAAAAAGTACTTAATTGGGTTCATTTAAAGTTTGAATTTCTGTTAGAGGGGTGATATGGTAGTCATTAAGACTATGCATACTTTATTCTTTCTACGTACCTGGTAAGGTTGCACTCTTTGACACGCCCCACCTCTCACCCTTATACCCCCCATGTCTACTTGAAGTTAAATGTGGCCATATGACTTGCTTGTGCTGGTAAAATATGAGCAGATGTGACATAGAGCATGTCCCAGTGAAGCTTTAAGAACCAGCACTCCATTTGCCTCTTTCCCCATCTCCCTGCCTTGCTATAGTGAACATGGATGTGCTTGGTGAGATGCAGCCTCTTGTCAGCCTGTGCATTAAAAGTGAATAAGGAGTGGCCGAACCAGCAAGCTGGAAGAACTCGAAGTTGTGATTAGGGAATGGAATACCTGAATTAGTGATTTTGCAAGGTCAAACTGTAGGGGTAAGTGGATGAGGAAGTGTGGAGGGAAGAGGCAGTCAGAAATGAAATGGTCATGACTCCTGGCTTGTTAAGTCAGTAGAGCATCCAACTCTTGATCTCATTATCATGAGTTCAAGCCTCGTTTTGGGTGTGGAGACTACTTAAAAAAAAAAAAAAGAAAGAAAGAAAAAGAAAAGAAACAAAATGGTCAGGGTACTCAGAGGCCTTGTATATCTCTGACCCTGAAGGCCATAATTTGTTGCAACTCATTTCAAGAGTGATGACCCCTGGAGTTAAAGAAATGGCTCTTAAAATGGTAAACCCGAAAGCTCCCTTTTGTGGAATATGGTAGAACTGAATCAAGATGCAGAATTTATTACTGAGTTGAAAGATTCTTCTCTCTTGATCAATAAAAGCAAACAAACAGCCATGAAAATTACAAAGTACCTTAGCCAAGAAACAGATGATATTAGGTAGCATTTAGACTAAGCTACTTTAACAGACTCCAAGTACAGTGGTTTTAAAAAATGCTTAATTTGTATCTAAAAGTTTTAGAATTGACTTTGGGGTTTTAAGCATTGTAAGGGACAGGTAAGTAACACCATGAAGAAAGAGACAAATTAAGTGTGTACATTATACAGTGTTGCTATTGAAAGTATGGACCCCCAACAATTCCTTCCCACTGAGAGCTTATGAGGCAAAACCTCAGGTCCTGTGCCAGACTTGCTGAACCAAAATCCACGTTTTAACAAGATCTTTGAGGTGGCTCATATGCAGTGTCCTGATCTCTTAAAAGTGCTAGCATCTTAGGAGCGTATAAGATGGAAAGACCAGTTGTAGATGAAAAGATCCTAACAAGTAACAGGACATAACCAATACAAAGTGCAAACCTTGATTGAATCTTGATTAAAAAATAAAAATAAAAAAACAACCAGTATGGAAGATACTTCTGGGTCAGCTGAAGAGGTTAGAATATGGTGGAATACCAGAAAAGGGAATTCCTGTTGATTTTCTTAGATATGAGGATGATGTGATTATACAGAAAAATGTTTTTAAAAAGATACATACTCTTTGCAACTTCCTTTAAAATAGTTGAGCAAAAACAAACACCCACACACGTGTATATATGTCTCTCTCTATACACGCTGATGTTTAGATAAAAGAAATATGTGGAATCTAGGTGGTAAATATATGGGTGCCTATTATATTGTTCTTTTAACTTTTGTGGAAGTGTAAGTTTTTTCATAATAAAAAAATGGAGGAAAACACACACACAAAAATGCAGTAGCTTCAAACAAGTTATTTTTCCCCCAGTAGTTCAGTGCTGGGTCATATAGTGCAGGCAGGGCTGGCACACGGCTTTCATCCCTGGTCTGTTGTGGCTTTTCCCGCTCCTGTTTCCTAGCTAGTGGTATGGAAAAATGGCGAGGGGAGCATATGGTCTAGAAGCAGCACTTATTTCCTTGATCAAAACTTCAGTTTTTTTCATTCACCTGGACATCCTATAGCTAGGGAGTAGGTGGTAAAAGTCAAATGTGATGTGCATTTGTATATTTTGGTTTAAGAAAGATTTCTTTGGTTTCACCTGGTGTTTTCTTCTCTGTTGATTTCTGAGGCCCAACTAAAATTGAAATCATTTTAATTTTAATATACATAAAGTACAGTAGCTAAAATTTTCATTTTGAGGATTAAAGTATATTCATCCCCTCCCCACTAAATCTCTTCAGTAAATAACAGATGCGGGTGCAAGAGCCTTCCAAAGCTTTACCCGAGAAAGCCAAAAGAAGTAAAAGGCCTACTTTACCTCGCGATGAAGACTCTTCAGACGACATTGCTGGTAAATTGTGATATCTGTCATCCTTAATAGTGTTGTGGAAAAGAACCATATATGTTTTTAATTTAAATCCTTTGCCCTTTATTTTCACTATTTTCTACATGAACTCTAAAATCAGCTTATCTAGTACCGAAACATCCTGTTGATATTTTATTGAGATTTTTGTTTAGTTTATAAAGTAACTTAGAATTGGTGTCTTTTTGTTTCCCCTTCTTTGTGACCTGTTAAAACCAAGCCTTCAAGGCTGGGAGGAGTGGAGCTGCTGGCCTCAGACTTGTTTTCCTCTTCAGCTTCATGACTTCATTTTGGCCTCTGAGGATTTTCCATACTTTCTTACTAGTTCAGCTCTCCACTTAAAAAGTTGTTTTATTCCTTTTTTTAAATATTTACTTACTTTTGAGAGAGATAGAGAGACAGAGTGTGAGCAGGGGAGGGACAGAGGAAGAGAGAGACACAGAATCCAAAGCAGGCTCCAGGCTCTGAGTTGTCAGCCCAGAACCTGAAGCGGGACTCGAACCCACGAACTGTGGCTTGAACCCACGAATCGTGAGATCATGACTTGAGCTGAAGTCGGATGCCCAACCGACAGAGCCACCCAGGTACCCTTTTTATTTCCTTTCTTAAGTGTTTTTAACTTGGATAATATTTGAGGACAGCTAGATTGGTGTATTGAGGGTAGACTGAATTATATCTTTAAGCATTTGTTTTATTCCACGGATATGATTTTTTTCAGGGGTTCTGAGTATTCTTGTGTTAACTCTTGCTTGCCTGTCTTCTAGTTTCTTTTTCCTCAAATCTTCTAAAATTCCTGTTTCCTTTTCATTTTGTTTGCTGTTTTCATTTTTATCTTTACAGTGTTTTCTGCAGTGTCTGTTTCACCTCATGCCCTTTTTAGTTTTGCCATCAGTTTTGTGGCTTAATTTCATTTTTTCTTCCATTTCTTTCCTGAACCGTGCCAGTCACTTCTTACTGGTTTGCCACCTTGTGCTGGAACATTTTGCTTCTGTTTTGTATTTTTATTTCATGACAATGATTTCTGTGCCATTTGTTTTTTTATTTTTTTTTAAATGCTTTTATTTATTTCTAGGAGAGAGAGAGAGACAGTGTGAGCAGGGGAGGGTCAGAGAGAGAGGGAGTCACAGACTGAAACAGGCTCCAGGCTCTGAGCTGGCAGTCAGCACAGAGCCTGATGCGGGGCTCGAACCCACAAACCGTGAGATCATGACCTAAGCGAAAGTCGGACGCTTAACCGACTAAGCCACCCAGGCGCCCCTGTTTTTTCTTTTTTTATATTGGCATAGAATTTATGGCTTTGCTTTCTCATTTTTTGATGTAGGGTCACCTTTCTTGGGCCATTTAGTTTTGGAATATTTGTGTAAGAAGGAGGGCTAAAACACTGTTGAGACCAACTGGAGTTTTGAGTCTGAGCTCATTGAGCCTTCTTTCCACCTGACAGGATTTTACAGCCCTGGGTTTTTTCAGAATCCAAATATCCCTTCTCCCCGACTGCCTTAGAGATAAGACTGACTGCCTTAGAGATAAGACTGTTTCTGGCAAATAAGGCTTGTTCTTTAGTTTCTTACTTAGTGAATGAGACTTTGCCTTCCTTTGCTTCTTAAAACAAAAGCGGATACAGGGGAGCTCCTGCCAGTGTTGTTGCTGCACAGAGATTTTGGGAGTTTGGTTTTGTTCTTGGTCTGTGAGGCCCACGTCTTCTCTGTGAAATCTACAGCTGCAGTCTTCTCTCTGGCCCCTCCTGTTTGCACTCCTGTTTGGGATCTCTGCTGCAGTTAGGTGGAGCCTCCCGCTTAATTTGTGACTTGAGGCTTCAGTTGTCTCCTGGTTTTTCTGAAAATGAACTTGGTTTTTTCATTTCCTACTCTTGTTGACCTTGGATGATTCTGGGAAGAGAATGGCAAAGTGTGGATTTTAGACCATCATTTACAAACTGGAAGACCTCCTTATAAAGTTTTTATTAATACTTAAGATGAGAAACGTGGAGATTTTAATTACTGTTTTTGATTTGTTTATGTGGAACAACTGTAGACTTTAATACATTTGTAGATTTTCTTCAGGAATCCACAGAGGACTTGTTTGGCAGATGAAATTTAAACAATTGCATGATTAAACAAATTATAGAAAACTGAGGAAATCTTATTAGCACCGGAAAAAATGTTTTTACATGTTTCCCCCCATAAGAGATTGTGAATACTATTTATTTATTACATGTTTATTTATTTTGAGAGAGAGAGAGAGAGAGAGCATGAGTCGGGGAAGGACGGAGAAAGTGAGAATCCCAAGAAGGCTCCAAGTGTAGAGCCATGACCGTGAGATCATGTGACCTGAGGAGAAAGCAAGAGCTGGCTGCTTATCTGATTAAGCTACCCAGACGCCCCTATAAATACTATTTAAACACTGGTTAGCTCTTACAGAAACTTCAAACTTTCAAATTTATTTATAAAATGTACATATGGTTGAGGCACTTAAAAGCTAATAGATTTCACTTAGAGGCCTGGAACCATTTTTATATTGAATTCATTTATCTCTGAATTCATTAACAATTCCAGTTTTATAAGTCTGAATTATAGAATCAGAGACTAGTTGTCTGCTGGCCAGATCCCACCCTAGAGATGGTATAGAAAGTGTATGGAATGATTTTTTACACTTAGAATTTTACAATATAAAAACTCAAAGCAGTGATGTTTGGTAAGCCATTTCTAGGTCCTATACTTGTGTGATCATCTCTCAGTCTTTCCCAGAACACCCCATTCTTTAATGGCATGTGTCCTTGCTTTCCAAATAAAGGACTTCAGAATTACTCCTTTTGTGTCTATTCTTGTAACTTGCTCTTGGTGTAAAATTAGAAGTCTTAACCTTTTATCAGATTTAACATTACTTTTCTTAAAGTTATATTTTACAACACATCCCTTGTCAGGAGTCACATTCTTAGCCTTCAGGATGAAGTGGGACTAACGCTTAGCCTCTCTGTAGTTAACTAATACATGCAAAGGAGTGCTGCGCATTTAGGAAGGGAAGTGGACAAAGTGGAAATGTACATACTCCTGTTTCCCTCTTCACGTTACTCATTCTTTGTTATTTCATTTTGGCAGATAGTGGTAGTTTTGGTGTTTGGAATAGTTGAGGTTGGAGAAATGGAAGTGTTAGTGTGTCCTTGCGAGAAGAATATGGTTACCTGAATAAAAACATATTAGATCATTTTGGCCATTTGTCTCCACACGGTGCACACTTCTTGTACCTGTAAATTATGCTACTGTTTGTTCCTTTCTCTCCTTTCTCCCAACAGTGATGAAAATAGCATCAGAGCAGAGGTAGACTTTGTGGAAAGAGTTTATGTGGATATCTTTTTCTAAATTTTCTTTAAATATTTTTATTTATTTTTGGGAGAGAGAGTGAGGGGGAGAGGGGCAGAGAGAGGGGGAGACACAGAATCTGAAGCAGGGTTCAGGCTCTGAGATGTCAGCACAGAGCCCCATGTGGGGCTTGAACTCACAAGCCATGAGATTCTGACCTGAGCCAAAGTCAGATGCTCAACCAACTGAGCCAGTCAGGTGCCCCTATGTGGACATCTTAATTAGAAGAAAATATATTCAGAATCCTTATTAACACAGTGGCTGGGCTGCTCCTCAAATTATCTCCTTTATTTATTTATTAAATTTTTAACTTTTGACCTATTTTTTTTTTTTTAAGCATTACTTATTTTTATTTTTTTTTTTACAAATAGTTTATTGTCAAATTAGTTTCCACATAACACCCAGTGCTCATCCCCACAAGTGCCCTCCTCCATGCCCATCCCCCCCTCCCCCCCACATCCATCAGTTCTCAGTTTTTGTCAGCATTCAAGAGTCTCTCATGGTTTGCCTCTCTCCCTTTCCCCCACCATTTCCCCCCTTCTTCTCCCGATTGGTCCTCTGTTAAGTTCCTCCTAATCCTCCTATACGTGCACACATATGATATTTGTCCTTCTCTGCCTGACTTATTTCGCTCAGCATAACACCCTCAAGGTCCATCCATGTAGCTACACATGGCCAGATTTCATTGTTTCTCATTGCCATGTAGTATTCCATGGTATAGATAAACCACATCTTCTTGATCCATTCATCTGTTGATGGACACTTAGGCTCTTTCCATGTTTTAGCTATTGTGGAGAGTGCTGCTATGAACATTGGGGTACATGTGCTCCTATGCCTCAGCATTTCTGTATCCCTTGGGTAAATTCCTAGCAGTGCTATTGCTGGGTCATAGGGGAGTTCTATTGTTAGTTTCCTGAGGAACCTCCACACTGTTTTCCAGAGGGGCTGTACCAGTTTACATTCCCACCAACAGTGTAGGAGGGTGCCCGTTTCTCCACATCCTCGCCAGCATCTAGAGTTCTCTGATTTGCTCATTTTAGCCACTCTGACTGGCGTGAGGTGGTATCTCAGTGTGGTTTTGATTTGTATTTCCCTGATGAGGAGGGATGCTGAGCATCGTTTCATGTGTCTGTTGGCCATCTGGATGTCCTCTTTGGAGAAGTGTCTGTTCATGTCTTCTGCCCATTTCTTCACTGGGTTGTTTGTTTTTCGGGCGTGTAGTTTGGTGAGTTCCTTATAGATTCTGGATATTAACCCTTTATCTGATATGTCATTTGCAACTATCTTTTCCCATTCCGTTGGTTGCCTATTAATTTTCTGGGTTGTTTCCTTGGCTGTGCAGAAGCTTTTAATCTTGATGAGGTCCCAACAGTTTATTTTTGCTCTTGATTCCCTTGCTTTTGGGGATGTGTCAAGTAAGAAGTTGCTGCGACTTTTGACCTATTTTTAAATTAATAGGAAAGTACAGAGAAACATATACGGGGGTCCCATTCACTCTTCACTCAACCTCTCCTGATTTAATATCTTATTTCTACAGTATGATATCAAAACCAGGAAAAATGACATCACTACAATCAGAGCTTCTTCTGATTTCACCAGATATACAAGGTCTCAAATGTGTGTATTTGAGCTATACACAAATGTGTCTATAGCTATAGGCAGTTTAATTATGTGTGTAGTTTTGTGTAAGCACCACAATCAAGATACCGGCTGTACCATCACTACCACAAGTGTTGCCTGATGATAGCCACACCCCCTGTCCTCCACCCATAGTCCCTGGCAGCCACAAATCTGTTCTCCAACTCTGTACTTCTGTTTCATATACAGTATGTATCCTTTTGAGTTATTTGGTTTTTTGAATCTCTTTGATTTTTAGTCACAGTATTTTAATGCTATTGACTTTTGTTAAATGATGGTAGCACTTTGGTTTAGCAAACAAAATGTTCAGATTTTGTTATGTCTTATTCAGTAGGATTCACTTGCCAACATGTAAGTCTTGCCATCAGTGTGAATCATGTGAAGAAAGCAATCGCTGAGAATGTGTGGTCAGTTTGCTCCGAATGTTTAAGGGAAAGAAGATTCTCTGATGGACAGCCAGTACTTTCCTCTGACGTCTGGTTGTGCCTCAAGTGTGGTTTTCAGGTGAGAAACGTGATTTTTGTCTCTGACTTTGTCTTAAATATTTTCCCTAAATGCTTATTATGAGTTGGATTGTTGGTAATGTTTAGAACTTAAGATAAGTTTATTCCGTGTTTAGGTAGACCTTTACAAGGCTGAACTTAGAAATGTTTGTTAAGGTAAAGTAAAAGGTATGTTATCTTTAGAAAGTGATCATGTGTGATTTAGAAATACTTTGAAAGGGAATCCATCCTACTTGTGGTAGCTCTCAGATCTGGACCTGTCTTTACCGGTTTGTATTTACTTATGAAATGGATACAAGTTTTTTCTTTTTTTTTTTTTATATCTTTCTAAATTAATTTTCTTTCTATGAAGTGATTCTCTTTTTTTTATGTTTTACTTATTTTTGAGAGCAAGAGAGACAGAGCACAAGCAGAGGAGGGGCAAAGAGAGAGGGGAGACAGAATCTGAAGCAGGCTACAAGCTCTGAGCTGTCAGCACAGAGCCTGATGTGGGGCTCGAACTCACAGACCACGAGATCATGACCTGAGCCGAAGTCGGATGCTCAAACGACTGAGCCACCCAAGTGCCCCAATTCTTTTTTTTTTTTTAAACAGATTATCTTAATAGTTCAGAAACTACTAATACTGTAATTATTGATTTATTATTTTTTTTAACATTTATTTATTTTGAGAGACAGAGATAGAGTGTGAGCGGGTGAGGGGCGGAGAGAGAGAGACAGAGACAGACACAGACACAGACACAGAATCTGAAGCAGGCTCTAGGCTCTGAGCACAGAGCCTGACGTGGGGCTTGAACCCACGAACTGTGAGAGCCTGACATGACCTGAGCCGAAGTCAGATGTTTATCGGACTGAGCCATGCAGGCATCCCTGTAATAATTTTTTAAATGTTTGCTTATTTTTGAGAGAGAGATCAAGCAGGGGAGGGGCAGAGAGAGAGAGAATCAGAGGATCTGAAGCAGGCTCTGTGCTGACAGCAGAGATCCTAATGTGGGTCTCAAACTCACAAACCATGAGATCATGACCTAATCCACAGATGAATGCTCAACTGACTGAGTCACCCAGGTGCCTGTATCATTAATAATTTTTGAATAACATATTTAAGATGTGTACAATGTTCCTAAAATAAGAGGAATCCTTATTATCTCTCACAGACAGTCCATAAGAGGACCACTTCAGGGCTAGTTAATTCAATGGGAAGAGCACTGAAAACTGAGATTTCTTCCATTTTCTTCTGTGTCAACCTCAGTGTCATGGCTTTTTATGGTCAGAGGTGTTTCATGCATTAAAGGCCAGAAAAAGGGCAAAAAGGATATTCCTCTCTGGTTTGTTTTGTTTTGTTTTTTAATATATAAAACTTTGCTAGAAATATCCAGCATACTGCCCCTCATATCTCATTGACCAGAATTTGATATTATTTCTTTACTTACCAGGTGAGAGAAATTATTATGATTGGTCTGAGACTCATTAGTTGTCATTGGGTTTGGGTGGAGGTGTGGACAGTGTTAGAAAATGTGTGTATTAGGAGGTGGCACTGGTCTGTGAGGATATTCGGCGCCCCACTCTGTAAAAGGCAGAGAGTGTATGCATTTTTAAATAATAGTGAAATTTACTTGCCTCATGATTGTTTCAGGTAAATACTGTATAACAAAAAGCAAGTTAGCCTCTTTGCAAGGAATTAAATTTAATGAGAATCTATATTCCTTTCTGAAGCTTTTCCCTCCTGCTTGAAATTAAAACCAAAACTTTTTCAGTGTATATTTGAATATGATTTAGATTTTGATTAATTTGAAACAAGCCTAACTGTAAATTCTACAAATAGCATTCTGTTCATCTTTAGGGATGCGGTAGAAACTCAGAAAGCCATCATTCAGTGAAGCACTACAAGAGTTGGAGAACAGAATCTCATTGTATTACAATTAGTCTGAGCACATGGATTATATGGTAAGTTAGTTTTTGTCCCTACCTGTGTCCACTACAAAAAAATCTTTTCTCCAAACTTTACAAGGTAAAATATTTAAAAGACGTTGTACCAGCTGATGCTTTTTAGCCTGAACACAACTGATAAATACTTTCAGAAAATTAACATTACTCATGAATATAAAATTTAAATAAGGAAAAATTTAGTCATCCCTCTACTTTTCTTTAACATTTTCTTGGTAGGATAAGGAAGCATCCTTTCTAGTTGATTTTTCATAATGAACTTGCTAATACAGAGTTCCAGATAGAGAAGGAAGGTACTTCAAGCAGTCAAGTGGTTTGGTGATTCCCTGTAGAGGAAAGGGAAAGCCTGGGCATATGTATTTTGTAGAAACTTGGGTGCTTCTACTACTTAACCCTGGCTGGAAACCAAATCCAGTTCCCCCATTTACATGAAAATGATACTCATGTTACACTGAGTATCATTTACTTTTTTATGCTTATAAAGTAAAAATCCAGGCACTAAAGCAAGGTTTTTGATTCCGTAGCTTCTTACCAGCATATCACACTGCTACAGTGGCATAAATGGATACTGTATTGAAAAGCTTTCTGTATGTTTCACAACAAAAATCTTCTCACTGGAGTCTACAGACTCCTACAAAAGTTTTCAAGTTCCCCTTGAATGAATTTTCAGAATTTTTCAAGTTTTCTTTAAGACAGAACTATTTTAACTTTGTGTTTTCATTTCAGGGACCTAAAGTTAAAGAAGGATGTTTCAGTTTATACAAGAGATCATCATCTTATTTAATTCAGGGCGTGGGGTCAGGTGCTTGCTGCATCTGTGTTTTTGCTGTTGTTGGCCCCAAGTTATAATACTGGGGACAATGAGGAAAGCACAGGGGCAACATACTATGTAAATGATGCCGTGGAGCCAAGGGAGAGGGGGATGCTGTCATAGTGTGGCAGCTCAATAGATATTTCTCTGTAATCTGAATAGAGCAGTGGTCTCAAACTATGGGGTACATCAGAATCACCAGGAAGATCTTGTTGAAATAAATTGCTGGGTCCCGGGCCTAAACATTCTGCTTTAGTAGTTCTTGGGTAGCGCCTAAGAATTTGCATTTCTAACAAGTTCCTAGGTATTGCCAGTGCTGCTGGTCTGGGGACCACAGTGCCAGGACCATAGGAATAGAGGAAGGTGGAGGAGGAATTGAGTAGCACCTGGTAGAATAGGCTCATTTCAAGTGAGTCTATGTCAGAACTTGTGTTGTAGCTCTTAGGACCATAATTATAGTGTGAATCATGATGTAATTTCAGGGAAAAAATACAAAACACCTTACCTAGCATAATAATGTTGTTAGTTTTAACACTTGCTTTTATAATTTTTAATGCTTAATTGTATAATTTTGCTTTCATAGGTAAATAGAGTTATAAGGGAGATCAATTTGTTGGGCTTTGTGAGTGTTAGATTTGTATTACAATAAAAATAATTTAAGTCACATTTGAGGAGTTTGTAAAATTATTTTCGTCTTTAAAAAAAATTTTTTTTTAAATTTATTTAATTTTGAGACAGCTCAAGCAAGAGAGGGACAGAGAGAGAGGGAGACACATAATCTGAAGCAGTCTCCTGGCTCTGAGCTGTCAGCACAGACCCTGATGTGGCGCTCAAACGCACGAACCATGAGATCATGACCTGAGCCGAAGTCAGACGCTCAACTGACTGAGACACCCAGGCACCCCTAGAGCTATTTATTTTTTAAAATGATAGTACTTTTTGGATGTTGTGAGGAATTAAAACAGAACATACATGTGAAGCATTTACAACATAATAGATGCTCAATTAAATGGTTTTGGTTATTTCTAATGGAACCAAGTAGAAGTAATTTATGTTGAGCTGTCCTCTTTTCTCCAAATTCACTGCCATTGTGTGGTTTTTCTTTACATTTTCTTTTTGTACCTTAAAGTTACCAATATATTTTATAACACATAAAAATTAAATTGCTATGTCAGTAAAAATTCCTTGACATTTCAGTGTTTTGCAAATGAGCATTTTTTTTTTTAATTTAGAGAGAGCAGGCAGGGGAGAGGAACAGAGAGAGAGAGAGAGAGAGAGAGAGAGAATTGTAAGCAGGCTCCATGCTCAGTGTGGAACCCAACACAGTGCTCGAGCTCACTATCCTGGGATCATGACCTGATCTGAAATCAAGAGTCAGTCAGATGCTCAGTCGACTGAGCCACTCAGCCACCCTGCTAATGAACAATTTTTATTATTTTTGGCAATAGTTACATCAGTAAATTTTGAGCATACATTATAGTGTAAGCCTGCTAACTATAACTACATTGTTTGGATTCTATCATGGTCTGTTAGAAAAGATGTTTTGGGAATGTTTTCTGTGACTTGTTTCCTTCACAGATTTATCTATATATTTCTGTATGCAAGTGATAGAGTGATATTTGCATTTTGACTGAATTTTGAGTGCATTTTTGGAAAAGGAATTCAAACCTAGTTTATAGCCATTGATCCCAGTACCTCCAATAATTTTAAGAATACTGTGAATATGTAAAGTGGTATTGGTGTAACACATTATATTTATAAAATACTTAGAAAAACCACTTTTGACACTTTCAAATATATTTTCTTGTTTGGCCATTGGATCTTATGAAGATAAAGGAAGCAGGTAATGACAGTATATAGAAAAAACCTTTATTAAAACTATATGACTAATGAGTAAACTTAGTGGAGGGCAGTTTTCTAAAAATGAATGTGTTTTTGAAAATCTCTTTGAGAACCCTCTCTTCTCAACGAAGCCCTAAACACAATAAAACTCTTATCCAGTCTGCCCCATATCTATAAATGGAAACTCTGTCACTTACGTATTCAAGCCAGAAGCCTAATAGATACTTTCTTTTCTTTTTTTGTTATTTTATTTTTTAATCCTTTAACAAAAGTAGAAAGAATGGTATAATGTAATACTCTGTACCTATCACCCAGCTTTAAACATTCCCAACTCACAGCAAGTCTTGTTTCCTCTAGACCAGAATTTCTCAATCTCAGTACTGTTGTCATTTTGGCTGATAGTTCTTCTTTGTGAGGGGACTGTCCTGTACGGCGTAGAATGTTTAGCATTCTCTACCCAGTGAATGACAGTAGCAGTTTCCCCAGTTGGGACAGCCAAAAATGTCTCAAAATGTTAACAAATGTCCCCTGGGGGGGAGGGGCAAAATTGCTCCTCTTTGAGAATCACTGACATGCCCTCATCCATTTCTCCTTTTCCATGGCAGTTATTTTGATACTTCTCTGTTTCTACCTGAAATATGTGTAAATTAAATCTGTTCACTTTTCTCCAGATCCACTGCTTCTACCCAGACCTGCTTCTATTCCCTCCATCTGACAATAGTCAGAGTGATGTTGTAAAATGTGAATTGGATCACATCACTTCCCTGCTTACAAAACTCCTCATGACTTTTCCATTACACTTAGGATAAACAACCAAAACTTTTTTTTTGGTATTAGTTTATTCTTTTTCTGATTCTCCTCCTTTCTTATTTTTATTTAAAAATTTAAAAAAAATTTTATTTAAAAAATGTTTTTAATTTAATTTACTTTTTAAATTTACATCCAGTTAGTTATCATACAGTGCAACAATGATTTCGGGAGTAGATCCCTTAATGCCCCTTACCCATTTAGCCCATCCCTGCTCCCACAACTCCCACAACCCCTCCAGTAACCCTCTGTTTGTTCTCCGTATTTAAGAATCTCTCATGTTTTTGTCCCCCTACCTGGTTTTATATTATTTTTGCTTCCCTTCCCTTATGTTCATCTGTTTTGTATCTTCAAGTCCTCATATGAGTGAAGTCATATGATATTTGTCTCTCTCTGACTGATTTCTCTTAGCATAATACCCTCTGGTTCCATCCACATAGTTGCAAACGGCAAGATTTCATTCTTTTTGATTGCTGAATAATATTTCCTTGTGTGTGTGTGTGTGTGTGTGTGTGTGTGTGTGTATACACACACCACATCTTCTTTATCCATTCTTCCATCAATTAAACAACTAGAACTTTAATTTGAATGATAAGGCTCTGTCTGAACTGTCTCCTGCTTATTTCTCTAGACTTTCCTAATGCCTCTGCCTATGTATACTTTTTGCCCCCCCTTAATTTAAGGATAAGACTCAATAAATATCAACTTTATTCCCTTGTGTGCAGCATTATTAAAGATGCTTTCATAATATTTGCTTACATTTTTTCAGGTGTTACGAATGTGATGAAAAATTATCAACACATTGTAATAAGAAGGTTTTGGCTCAGACAGTTGATTTTCTCCAGAAACATGTCTCTAAAACACAAACAAGTAAGTTAAGCAATTGCTAGAGAAATTTGTATTAAAGTATGCTATTTTATTTTTACTTTAAAATATGCCTTGGGGACCTGGGTGGCTCTGTTGGTTAAGTGTTTGACTCTTGATTTGGGCTCAGGATATGATCTCATGGTTTGTGAGATTGAGCCCTGCATCAGGCTCTGCACTGATAGTGCGGAATCTGCTTGGGATTCTCTCTCCCTCTCTTAAAATAAATAAGGAATATTCCTCTCCCCACTCATGCACAAGTATGTGCAAACGCTCTCTCTCTCTCTCTCTCTCAAAATAAATAAGCGTTAAAAAAATAATAAAATACATACTTTAAGGGCATCTAGGTTGTGCAGTTGGTGATTATCTTTCAGTTGGTGAGTTTGAGCTTGCATAGAGCTCACTGTTGTCAGCCTGTCAGCACAGAACCTTCAGATCCTCTGTCCCCCTTTCTGCCCCTCCCCCACTTGTGCTCTCCCAAAAATAAATAAATATAAAAATATTTTAAGAATACGTATTTATATTTATTTTATATGACCTCTTCAAATAAAGAGTCCATACATTCATAAATAGTACCTTAGATTTTACTTTGACCGCACAGCACAAGTGCCATGCATTCCTAGGTAGCAATCCTGTGATGTTATCTTGTGTTGTATTTACATAGCTAATATGAGAAGCCAGAAAGGGTAGTGACTAGATTTTGAGTATCTGAGTCAAACAGTGCTGATTTGGAATGCAGGCGCCACTTAAATTACTTATTGTGCATGTGTCTTTTACTCCTTAGTTTACTTACTTTAGGATGGTTGGGCCACCTAGGTGGCTCAGCTCGGTTGAGCGTCCAACTTCAGCTCAGGTCATAATCTCACAACTCCTGAGTTAGAGCCCTATGTTGGGCTCTGTGCTGATAGCTCAGAGCCTGATGCCTGCTTCTGATTCTGTGTCTCCCTCTCTCTCAAAAAATAAACATTAAAAGAACTAGGATGATAATTCTATTGTGTGGAGTTATTGTGAGGCTTAGAGATAATGTTTTATAAAAATTTAGAATAATGTGCGTCAAAATGCTACACATATTGACGAGGTGGTATTTGTTACGTAATGATAGTGCAGTTCTGACACTCCCTGGAGTTAGCTGACCTTAAGATTAAAGGCTTAGTCCGCTACAAGATTGCCCTCACTTCAGACACCATTCTCAAGCTCAGAGAATCTCAGGCCCTTCACATTTCTGACAAACCAGCTATAAATTTAAGGGTTCCCACTACCCCTCTGAGGCTCAGAAATTTCCTAGAATGACTCAGAGAACTCAGGAAAGTCCTATATTTAAAATTAGTTTTATAGTGATAGAAAAAAAAAAGATACAAATCAGGACACCCAAAAGAAGAGACACGGGGCGCCTGGGTGGCTCAGTAGGTTAGGCGTGTGACTTCGGCTCAGGTCATGATCTCGAGGTTCATGGGTTCGGGCCCCACGTTGGGCTCTGTGCTGACAGCTAGTTCAGAGCCTGGAGCCTGCAGATTCTGTGTCTACCTCTCTCTCTGACCCTCCCCTGCTCATGCTGTCTCTCTCTCAGAAATAAAACATTTAAAAAAATTTAAAAAACAAACAAACAAACAAACAAAAAAAAAAAAAAAAGAAGAGACACAGAGGACAAGTACTGGCAAAGTTCCAGACATGAATCTCCTGTGTCTTCGTCCTGTGGAGTCAGGACCCATCAGCTTCCCAGCACATCAGTGTGTAACCGTACTCACAGCGTATTGTTAACCAGGGAAACTGTCTGGAGCTGTGGTGCTCCAGAGTTTTTATTGGTGCTTTATTGACTAGGCACCATTGATTGAATCATTGGCCACATGACTGAACTCAGTCTCCAGTACCCCCACCTTCTAATTACACATTGGTCTTTCCGGCGTGACTGGCTGCCTTCCTGAGTAACCTTATTAGCAAACTGTCCAGGAGCTCACCAAAAAAGAGAAAGATACTCCTGTTGCTCTGGAAATCCAAGGATTTAGAGGGTACTTCTCAGGGACCTGGGGGACAAACGCAGCCAAATCCTTTGTTATACAATAGTAATGTTATATATTATATACTTTGTTAATTACGTATGTTATTTGACATGCATATGATACATAATACATGTTAATATAGATGAGTATATAGGAAAGCAGTGTCTTCATTCAGAAATTTTTTTAATGTTTGGGGTGCCTGGGTGGCTTAGTCAGTTAAGCGTCCGACTTTCGCTTAGGTCATGATCTCACGGTTCGTGGGTCCGAGCCCCGCGTCGGGCTCTGTGCTGACTGCCAGCTCGGAGCCTGGAGCCTCTTTCAGTCTGTGACTCCCTCTCTCTCTGACCCTCCCCTGCTCACGCTGTCTCTCTCTCTCTCCCTCCTAGAAATAAATAAAACATTAAAAAAAAATAAAAAAAAAAGAAATTTTTTTAATGTTTATTTTTGAGAGAGGGAGATAGAGACAGAGCAGGAGTGGGGAAGGGTCAGAGAGAAGGAGACACAGAATCTGAAGCAGGCTCCAGGTTCTGAGCCTCTCAGCACAGAGCCCGACACAGGCTCAAACTTGTGAACTGCGAGATCATGACCTGAACCAAAGTTGGATGCTTAACCCACTGAGCCATGCAGGTGCCCCTTCATTCAGAAATGTTAAGTGCCTTCTACATGCTAGGTTTTATACTTTATTCAATATGTAGTGATAAAAAGTTTTATACTCCCCTTTTGGGGGTATACAGTATAGTGAGACAAATTATATCCTTGTGTGTGTGTATATTAACTTCTGATAAGTACTAAAAGGACAGGAACAGATTGCACTGATAGAGAATAATCTAATGGACATAGTGATCAAGAACGGCCAGGATAGCTGGAGTGTGGTTTGCTGGGAGAGAGTAGAATGAAATGGAGAAGTGAGTGGGAGGAGGGGGGGAAAGAAGTGAGTGGGAGGTCATGAAGGATTCCATGGTAGGAATTCCATGGTAAAGAATTTTTATTTTGTTGGAAGTGTAATGGAAGCTATTAAAGTGTTTTAAGCAGGAGAGTAACAGTCATTTCAGCTTCTTTTAATAAACATTACTGATTGTTGTGTAGACTGCTGGAGTTAAGAGTGGAGCTGAGGAGGTCATTACGAAGGTCAAGGAGGTCACTGTGGTAGGGCAGGTGAGAAACCGGGAGAGGCACTGGTGGAAAGTGAGTGTATTAAATGTGAGAGAGGGAGAGTGGGGTAGCATCAGTACACCTCAGGGTTTTGGTTAACTGAGTGATTGGGTGAATGGATGTGATAATTTTGAAATGTCTTTGGCGCAGGATTGAATTGCTTAGTAGGTGGCATTCAGAAACTGAAGATTTGTAGTAAAATATACTAGGTGTTCAGCTGTATTTTCTGTAGCCCAATATATGATTGTTTTTGTTAGCTATAGCCCTGAGACAACAATGGTGGAGAAATTGGTGAAGGAACTGGAGGAGGTAAACACAGGTTCCTGGACTGCTGAAGAAATGGTTTATTTTTTCACTCATTCATTTATTTATTCAACAGACATTAATTGAAATCTTACTCTGTCCCAGGCATACTCATCATAGATCTAATTTTGCTCAAATAAAGAACCGGCAAAGTATGATGATGATATACCTTTAACATTTCAGAAGTAGATGTGGGTCTTCATGCTGTCTCCCGAAAATCACACATTTAATATGTTTTTTTTGTTTTGTTTTGTTTTGTTTTGTTTTTGCCATAATAAGATATGTAGGGATATGATGCCAGGGGTGGCAAAAGTGCAATTGTAGGAATTATTTTCTTTGGATTTTTTTTTTTAACCTTAGAGTTTCCTTGAGATGAAGAATAAAGCCAGTCTGATTTTCTTCAGTTTTACAGATTTCTTGAATATTTATTATCACAAAGGATATGAGGTAGGGAGCATGGGATGATGTGGTAGAAAGAACATGAGCTTGGGGCACCTGAGGGGCTCAATTGGTTGAGTGTCTGACTTTGGCTCAGGTCATGATCTCATGGTTCGTGAGTTCAACCCCCCTAATCAGGCTCTGTGCTGACAGCTTGGAGCCTGGAGCCTTCTTCCGGTTCTGTATCTTCCTCTCTGCTCCTCCCCTATTTGCGCACACGCTCTCTCCCCCTCCCCCTTTCTCCCTCCCTTCCTGTCTCCCTCCCTCTCTCTCTCTCTCTGTCTTTCTCTCTCTCTCTCTCTCTCTCTCTCATAAACATTAAAGTAAAGAAAAAAAGAACGTGGTCATTGTCAGGGGTGGGGGATCTGGCATTCAAATTTGACTCTTTCAGTCACTGGCAGAGTACTGTTCATCTGAACCTCATTTTCCTCAACAGCACCTCTTTCTTTTCCGTGTGTTTCAGGGAATAGAGATTGGTAAGACAGTTCCTGTCCTAAAGAATAAAGATAAGCAGAGTAGAATTGTATTTTGAGTGAAATTCAAACAAAGGCCTTCAGATATTTGGAAATGGTTGTAATGTTCAATTGAAAGGAACTGAGAAAGAATCATAAATGAGCTGGCTTTTGAGCTGACCCTTAAAGGATGAATTTTAGGTAGAGATGAGAAAAGCAATCATTTCAGGTGGTGGGAAGCACAGGTGAAACCTTTAATTGTGTTTATTGAACCATGGGTAGCACCTGGAATAATGGAACCAGGTTCTTGAGGGAGTTTGAGAGTGTGTGGAACCTTCACAGTTAGGGAGAGACATAGTTCTGAAGGTTTCCAGAAATTCTAGGTCAAAATGTCATCATCTTTGTGTTTCAAGCTACAGCATCTCTCAGGTAAGTTTGATTTAAAATAAAATCTGTTAGCATTCTAGAAGGAAGTTTTTTTGGGAAAGTAATTTGCAGTATTTTTTTCTTGCATAAGGTTTTAGTATATATTAAAAAAATTTTTTAATGTTTTTTATTTATTTCTGAGAGAGAGAGACAGCATGAGTTGGGGAGGGTCAGAGAGAGAGGGAGACACAGAATCTGAAGCAGGCTTCAGGCTCTGAGCTGTAAGCACAGAGCCCGA